CCGCACGCGCGTGCAAGTACGTGCACGTACAGCCGCACCGCGCGTGCAAGTACGTGCACGTACAACCGCACGCGCGTGCAAGTACGTGCACGTATACCCACACATGAAGCCTATAGCCTCGTCTACACGACGAACCTTAACTCGAGTTAGCGATTATGTAGCGTCTACACGACAACACCCGATAGCGATTATTACCGATTTATTATGCATGCGTGCGTGCGTGCGTGTGTATGTAAACGTGCGTGCGTGTGTGCGTGCGTGTGCACGTATACTTGCGTGCGTGCGTGCGTACGTGTGTACGTACACGGGCGTTCGTGCGTGTGCACGTACACGTGCGTGCATACGTGCGTGCGTGCATGCATGTGCACGTAGACGTGCGTGCGTGCTTGCGTGTGTACGTACATCGTACTAGTGTTGCCGCCTATCGTGGAGTTATGTACTATTCGCTAACTCGAGTTAAGCGTTTACACGGGGCCTTAACTCGAGTTAAGGTAACTCGAGTTAGCTTAACCTCGATCGACTGGCGAGGTTAAGCTAACTCGAGTTAACGCTAACTCGAGTGAGCTTAACTCGAGTTAAGGCCCCGTGTAGACGCTTAACTCGAGTTAAGGTTCGTCGTGTAGACGAGGCTTATGGTGTGATATTCCCTGACCATATTAAATGCGTTTTCATCACGAAATAAAACTCTTCTGGTGAGATATTACGCATGCGCTAAAACACTAACGTAGCCAGGTTATGTAGTTAATGGTATATAGGCAGCGGGAACCTTACATGCAAGGTCTGCTTCCTATTTCTGAAGTGAGGTGTACTGATGAAATTTTATCATATAAATCTATGCTGGGATAACCCTTCTTCATTTTAAATTCATATTGATTGCAAAATATTCTTTTTCTCGGGAGATATTGCGCATGCGCGAGCACCGTTTCAGACGTGCCGTACGGCCAAAGGAAAAGTACTTAAATATAGCTTGCTGAGGGAGAGAGGGGTGGGAAACTGAGGGAAGGTGGCAGGGAAGACAGTCGAGAGGCGGTGGAAGGAGAAGAAGGCTGAGAGTGCGACAATGGAGACAAGGGGAAGGGCGGGCGGGGATAAAGTAGGAGTTTGAACCCTACAGGCTATGGCGTTCTCCTAACTATAAACGCAGGTCTATTGATAAGATTTTAATACAGAAGCCTATGTTGAGATATCCCCTGACCAAATTAAATGGGTTTTCATCACGAAATAAAACTCCTCTGGTGAGATATTGCACATGCGCTAAAACAGTAACGTAGCCAGGTTATGTACTTGATAGTATAAAATATTAATATCCAGCGGAGACCTTACATGCAAGGTCTGTTTCCTATTTCTGAAGTGAAGTCCACTGATGAAATTTTATCATATAAATCTATGCTAGGATAACCCTTCTTCATATTAAATTCATAAGCTACGTCTACACGACGAACCTTAACTCGAGTTAAGCGTCTACATGGGGCCTTAACTCGATTAAGGTTAACTCGATTAACAGTAGGACCATCCCAGCTACACCACGTGTGTAACATTACCACGCTACAGCAGGACCATCCCAGCTACACCACGTGTGTAACATTACCACGCTACAGTAGGACCATCGTAGCTACACCACGTGTGTAACATTACCACGCTACAGTAGGACCATCGTAGCTACACCACGTGTGTAACATTACCACGCTACAGTAGGACCATCCCAGCTACACCACGTGTGTAACATTACCACGCTACAGTAGAACCATCCCAGCTACACCACGTGTGTAACATTACCACGCTACAGTAGGACCAGCAATGGCCGACCCTGAGTGGATAAAGCTGCACCCGCCGATCAACAAGACGCTCTCTCACGACGCCCGCGTCGGCGTCGCAGTCGCCACGGCTACGCTAGCGTCGTTCGCGCTCGTCGGAAACGCGCTTGTCGTCGTCGCGGCGGCGCGCTACCGCTACGTGCGCTCGAGCCGCCACGCTGCCATCGTCTCGCTGTCCGTCGCCGACCTCGCCGCC